TGGAGCTTTCCTTACCTCCTTCCCTTTCCCTTTTTTCCTTTTCCTTTTTTCTTTTCCCTTTTTTGCGCTCTGATTCACAATGTGACAATATATATGTGTATATATCTATATCTATCTATATATGTCTATATGTATCTATGTATATATATTGTCAAACAGAGCTGCCCGGTAAACCGTAGGCAGAGAGGGAGAAGAGGACAACGAAGGAGGGGCTGTGGCAAACTGTTTCGTCGGAGGCTCACCGACTCATCAGGAGGATCTATATATATATTGACAGAGACGGGGTGCGCCTTGGCTGTGGAATGCATCATCTATGCCATAGCCATTACCAATCTATTGCGACTGCCGCCGTCTGTACTGAAGGGTGTCCAACATCACTGTCACCCAGATATACGTTGTCCCTGTTGTGCGCAAGGACGCTATCAGAACTGCATGATGCCGCACTGTGATGAACGTCCTGCTGTTTTTTTGACATGTGGGCAACATGTCGTCTGTCAGGACTGTGTTTGATGGGATGATTCGTGCTAGCCGTCCTGCTGAATGCTGTGCTGGTGCAGCTCTCCTTGGGTATCCTTGTGAATATCCACATCATCCTCACCGTAGCTGTCCTATCTGCCGAGGTGGGGACAGTTAAAGAGGAAAAAAGAAAAAAAGAAAAAAAAAAGAAAAAGAAAAAAAAAAGAGAAAATAAGAAAAAAAGAAAATAAGAAAAAAGAAAAAATATGTTGATCTATGGGATGCGGTATTTGCTTTGTGACAATTGGATTATCTGTGGGATGTGTCATTTGCTTTGAGAAAAAAAGAAAAAAAAAAAGAGGAAAAAAGAAAATAAGAAAATAAGAAAAAAGAAAACATATGTTGATCTATGGGATGTGGTATTTGCTTTGTGACACTTGGATTATCTGTGGGATGTGTCATTTGCTTTGTTTGACTGATACGCTTTCTTTCCCTGTCAGGTTTGGTTTCCTCCTCCTTTTCTTTACCTCTTTTTTGCCTTTTGGCTGCGTGCAAGTGGGTCCTTGTGACACACGGAAATGGGGGCAGCCAGCGCTCAACCTGTCATCCACGTGGCTGGCCTTGTACGTAAGAGGTGATGAACAGGTGGGTCTTTCCTTCCTTCCTTCTTTTGCTTTCCTTGTTTTGTTTTTTTTCGCCTTCGCGCTCTGATTCACAGTGTGACAATATATTCTATATATATCTGTGAGTTGGTGAAACTCTGACGAAACAGTCTGTCACGGCCCCTCGTCGTTTGTTGTCCTCTTCTCCCTCACTGCCTACTGTTTACTGGACTGTTCCATTTGACGATGTATATGTTCAGCCTCCTGATAAGTAGGTGAAACTCCGTCGAAACAGTCTGTCACAGCTCCTCGTTTGTTGTTCTCTTCTCCCTCTCTGCCGACGGTTTACCGCGCAGTTCTTTTGACGATATGTATATGTAATATGTATATATATATATATGTATATGTGTGTATGTGTGTATCCATAGTCACGGGGAACTGCATGGTGATCTTAGGAGGCAAAGAGGGAGAAAAGGACAAGAAAGGTGGGTGGGTTTTGGGGGGTGGGTGTTTTGGAAGGCTGTTTAGTAGTCGGAGTCTCACCAACCTACTGACCAGGAGGCTGAACCCTATACAGTCTGCAGAGTCCCCCTAACCGATGATACCGAAGTGATAATCCATCTTTAACCACGGTGACAGGTGGGCATACAACCAGTGCCCTCTAGGTAGCGCACCCACCTGTAGCGAAAACCAAGGCAGACTACCACCCACCCACCAGTCCACATCAGCCGGAAGACGCTACAGACTGTTGCTTCACACACCCCATCATATACCTTGTGGAATCCTCTTGTGTGTGGGGACCCCGATCGTGCGTAGTGAAGACTGCAACGTCGGGCATTTCACATCCTCTCTCGTCAGATCCTCTCTCTTAGTGGGGAACCTTGCCCTTTTGACTGTGACCTTTGGGCAGCCCAAAGGGGATGACCCTGAAGGCCATCACAGCCCACAGGGCAAGGTTCTGCAGCAATTGCTGAGAGAGAAGTAAACGCTGTATTGTCTTTTGTGGCCATGATTATCCCCCATGGTTAGCACTTGTCAGGGCATACTCACCACTAGGACCTTTTTACTTGCTTATGGACGCATTTGCGGTCAGATACATCCAAGTATAGTGCGATTACGGTCGGATGCAGTCGAGTGTCGAGTATGCTCTCACTCTCTTGTCTGCAGCACTGGATGGGATCTCTATGAGAAATAGAAAGAAGATAAGAATTAAAAAGATGAATGAATGAAAGGATTCCTGCGCTGCTGCAGTACGGCCTCGTTAGATTCGATCTGTCGTGGCCTTTTCTTAAGGACTGAACTCCAATGGGACCGGGACTGGACACGTGCCGACTCCCTGCCAATCGGCTGCTAGGACCCTCGCGACTGCTCCTACCGGTCTTATCCTATCAGATCTCTATTGAAACGGTTTTCACCTTTTAGCAGTAGCGGATGCAGTACCCAGGGTTCGATCCCTAGACCTCACCCTACCCATGTACA